AGAAACCTCTCAAGCTTCTAGAGCGGATGGGGGGTATCAAGGAACTGACCTGCAGAGCCCACAGCCCTGACACAAAGTAGCCTGGTTGACTCATACCAGGCTGACTCATACCAGGCTGACTCATCCCAGGCTGCTATCCAGCCTCTAACTAAAAAACCTAGCTAGCTCCCCCTGGCTAATTAGAGGGGCGCTACAGTCTCCTACTCTCATTCAGATCTATGAAGGAGAACCGATGAGTTTAATCCCTAATAGTTCCTTCTACAGCCTTGCGCAGCAAGTCAATGTTAGTGGTACAATGTCCATGTAGTGCCTCTCATAAGACTGAATGTGCCCAATCACAGGAGACTTTAGTTGGCGGATTGTGTGACTAAACATTTCTCGTGTTGTCCCCGCCTGATGCTCCTTAAAGTTCCTACTTTGTATTTGCAGCTTAAAATAGCACTTGTAATGTTCCGTGACCCAACCGAGTCTCTCCGAATTGTTCTCCGTACTCCCTTCCCCCTATGACGAGTACTCTATGGCCGACACTAGATGGTCCTTCAATGAGACAAGCTGGCAAACCACCAATGATTCCTGTGCTGGTGGAAGATATGGAGAACCCAGAACCGGCTACTATTATACAACCAAAGTGGTTCTACTTTGACATTATTTATGTTTTTTGGGTTTTTTTTGTTGTTCCATAATATTTATTGAGACAAATTTCGGGTGATACAGTACAAAAAACAACATAAAGCAGCATCTGACAAAGGATATGCAGTACAGTATTGTGACAGACCCAACCAGGACAGAGGCTTTTGGAGGAGACTGCAGGCTAGCTCTGGCTGTCCCCAAAACACACAGACTCTGAGAACTGCAGGACCAGGATACAGAATTGGGGTCTCGGTGCCCCTACCAGCATTGACTGCTTCAACACCTCCCCCCTCCTAGACTCAGAGAGTCAGAGCAGATGTTAATATAATCAGCTCAAAACAACCTGATCTGAGGTCTCTTGCTGTAATCTGTTTGTGCGATGTGTTCACCATTGTGTATTTGAGTTGTGTCACAAATTGTTTCTGTCTGTTGGCTAGGCCTCCTGGAGGTTCCTACATGATGGAATTAGTTTGGTGTCAACTCGTCTTCATTACTTAATCAGTGTAGGATGTTTATCCCAATGTGTAATATTTGGTTTTTATTGTTCATGTGGGGACTGCCCCTTTTTCTTAAGTGTATAAAAACCTGTATTTCTGTTCAATAAACAGTTCCAGTTGCACCTAAGCTAGTGTCGTCTAGTCCTTGGGTGCAATGCCTGACTAGAATACCTTGGTCCTGTGTCCCAGGAAGCACTTCTCTGACGGAAAGACCCATGCGGGGTGCCAGGCAGTCTGTCACATTTATATACCAGTGGAGGACAAGAGGCTAGCCTGCAGTCCCCTCCAAATGTCCCGGTTGGGTCTGTCACAAGTATCAATATGTACAAACAATCAGGTTACAAAGTATCAACCAAAAACTGGATAAAAAGGGTGTGAGCCCAACAGTGGAAAACAACAAGAACAGAGTCTCAATGGGATGAATGTGGGCATTACTCAGGAGGTGTTACACCATCATAATGATTGCACCTTCATATATATATGGGCCGGGGTCAGTGTGTGGAGCATGGGCGGTAAAGTCCAGTCAATAAATTGGGGTTATGGGGAAAGGGGACATAAGAAGAGAGGGTGGAGATGGAGGGGGGCGGGGGAGATGGGGTGAAAGGGGCCCCCTGAGAACACCTATGATCCTGTCGCTCGACCATGTAAGGTACAGTAAGATTTGGGGTATGGCGTATGTTCAACAGGAACAGTGTTGCTTGTGCAAGTCTAAATCCTTATGTAGCACTACCCCCTTAAGAGTTGCGGAGTTTTGGGTCCCCCTGTAGTCCTGCTCAGTCAGACAACACTCATTTCCTGCCCAGACTTGCATCCCAGAGACAGTAACCAGTCCTTGAGCTTATTTTTTGGGATTTTTATTATGAGAATTAAAACTTGGATGGGGTAAGGGGTGTATGGGATGCCCAACGGAAGTGTCAGCTGGGGGACAAACCTCCTGGAACTATATATAGATCTCTTAACAGCAAACATTATCTTCTGGAGAGCTAGCCAGCACCTCCTGCTGTACCACCTCAGACCCAAGATACTCCTCTATGCAGCTGTTCTGGGTGAATCCCTGGGCAGGGGATCCAGTGCTGTCACTTTAAGAGATAAGAAAGTCCTGGGTAGCAGCTAATCCAGTTTCTCACTAGAGTGTTCCTTCCCCACATTGGCCAAGGAGGTGTAGGTCTACTCACTCAGTCCTCCGTCTATGAACTGCTGGGTCGAGTATCTGCTCTCAGGACTTTTGCTGGGCTGCTCCTTCCCTGCTGCATAGATGGTCCTTGCTCTAGGGGCCGATGAGGTCCTGAGCTTTCCTCCTTTCCAGCTACTCTGCCTGTAGGTGAGCCCCTTCCCATCTGGGACCCCTCCCAAGCTCTTGCCCTCCAGCCTCTCACTTCTTCCACCCAAACTCTCCTGCTACTGAGTATGCTCTTTCACTTTTAAGGGCTGTCCTGGCCCCATGCCAAGACTCCTGTTGGGGATTGGCCAGGATCCCTTGAGAATGCAGATCAGCCACTCCTCACTCCCTCCCACTGCTTCTAGAATCTTCTCCAAAATTCTAAAGCAGCTGGAATTTCCGGAGAGCTGGTCTGCAAAGCCTCTCAGCTCTCACCTGAATCTGACCTCCCTTTGACTATTACCATAGGCTGATACTCAGCCTCTATCTAACAATTGGACTCTAGCTCCCCCTAGCTATCTAGGAGGGTGCCACACTTAAACAGGAACCACCTCATCCAGGTGGCAGTAAATTAGGATATTGTTTGTTTGTTGGTATGCACCATCTCCCTTACCTGTTCAATGCAACGGAACCAGTCTGAGAGTTCCGGGGCCTTAGTCGATCTTCAGATCATAAGTGCCTTGGCTGCATTCAGCAAATGTTCTGGTCGAGGATCGTTTGTACTTAGAGGGGGACATGTGTGTATGGTGTTAGAGAAAAGTAGCAGGTTCGAAGGGCAAGTCATGCTCTGTTATCTGTTTAAGAGTGGAATGTACATCAGTCCGGAAGGGGCATATCTGAGGACAGGACCACCAATTATGTCATCGCATCCAGTTATTTGAATCCTTACGGGTACCAACTAGGGCCCCTTCGAGTACGTTGAAAATCTGATACTGCCTAATTAATTGAAAAGCGCTTCTTTTCCTCAGAATTAGACTCCGCCACTGAGAGCCCAGTGTGAGATCGCCTCTCTGCTTGGTAGTTTTTTTGACTCACTTGGGAAGAAGGATCGCAGGACTGTGAATATTTAATTTCTGAATTGCAGGACCTCTAGAACTGATTGAGATGGTGCTGTGTTGTGACCCTTGCTTGAAGTTACTAGAGTAACAGCTGTTTTCTTATTCACATACACTATATTGCCAAAAGTATTGGGCTGCCGGCCTTTCCACACACATGACCTTTAATGGCCCCCCCAGTCTTAGTCCGTGGGGTTCAATATTGAGCTGGCCCCGCCCTTTCCACACACATGACCTTTAATGGCCCCCCAGTCTTAGTCCGTAGGGTTCAATATTGAGTTGGCCCCGCCCTTTCCACACACATGACCTTAAATGGCCCCCCAGTCTTAGTCCGTGGGGTTCAATATTGAGCTGGCCCCGCCCTTTCCACACACATGACCTTTAATGGCCCCCCAGTCTTAGTCCGTAGGGTTCAATATTGAGTTGGCCCCGCCCTTTTCCACACACATGACCTTAAATGGCCCCCCAGTCTTAGTCCGTGGGGTTCAATATTGAGCTGGCCCCGCCCTTTCCACACACATGACCTTTAATGGCCCCCCAGTCTTAGTCCGTAGGGTTCAATATTGAGTTGGCCCCGCCCCCCGCAGCTATAACAGCTTCAACTCTTCTGGGAAGGCCGTCCACAAGGTTTAGGAGGGTGTCTATGGGAAGGTTGGACCATTCTTCCAGAAGCACATTTGTCAGGTCAGGCACTGATGTCGGGGAGGAGGCCTGGCTCGCAGTCTCCGCTCTAATTCATCCCAAAGGTGTTCTATGGGGTTGAGGTCAGGACTCTGTGCAGGACAGTCAAGTTCCTCCACCCCAAACTGGCTCCTCCATGTCTTTATGGACCTTGCTTTGTGCACTGGTGGGCAGTCATGTTGGAACAGGAAGGGGCCATCCCCAAACTCTTCCCACAAAGTTGGGAGCATTAAATTGTCCAAAATGTCGCCTTAAGACTGGAACTAGGGGGCCAACCCAACCCCTGAAAAACACCTTCACACCATAATCCACCCTCCACCAAACTTTACACTTTGCACAATGCAGTCAGGCAAGTACCGTTCTCCTGGCAACCGCCAAACCCAGACACATCCATGGGATTGCCAGACAGAGAAGCGTGATTGGTCACTCCAAAGAACATGCTCTAGAGTCCAGTGGCGGCGTGCTTTACACCACGGCATCCGACACTTTGCATTGCACTTGGTGATGGAAGGCTTGGATGCAGCTGCTCGGCCATGGAAACCCATTCCATGAAGCTCTCTACGCACTGTTGTTGGGCTCATCTGAAGGCCACACCAAGTTTGGAGGTCTTTAGCTATTGACTCTGCAGACAGTTGGTGACTTCTGCGCACTGCGTGCTTCAGCATGCGCTGACCCCGCCCTGTCATGTGACGTGGCCTACCACTTGGTGGCTGAGTGGCTGTTGTTCCCAGTTGCTTCCACTTTGTTATAATCCCACTAACAGTTGAGCGTGGAATATTTAGTAGCCAGGAAATGTCACGGATGGACTTATTGCCCAGGTGACCACCTATCACGGGACCACGCTTGGAGTCACTGAGCTCCTGAGAGCGACCCATTCTTTCACCAATGTTTGTAGAAGCCGTCTGCATGCCTAGGGGCTGGATTGTATACACCTGTGTCCATGGAGGGGATTGGAACACCTGAATCACATGATATGGAGGGGATTGGAACACCTGAATCACATGATATGGAGGGGATTGGAACACCTGAATCACATGATATGGAGGGGATTGGAACACCTGAATCACATGATATGGAGGGGATTGGAACACCTGAATCACATGATATGGAGGGGATTGGAACACCTGAATCACATGATATGGAGGGGATTGGAACACCTGAAATCACATGATTTGGAGGGGATTGGAACACCTGAATCACATGATATGGAGGGGATTGGAACACCTGAATCACATGATTTGGAGGGGATTGGAACACCTGAATCACATGATTGGGAGGGGATTGGAACACCTGAATCACATGATTGGGAGGGGATTGGAACACCTGAATCACATGATTGGGAGGGGATTGGAACACCTGAATCACATGATTGGGAGGGGATTGGAACACTTGAATCACATGATTTGGAGGGGATTGGAACACCTGAATCACATGATTTGGAGGGGATTGGAACACCTGAATCACATGATTTGGAGGGCTGGCCCAATACTTTTGGCAATATAGTGTATTTTCCTGTTCCTTTGCTTACATTTGATCTCAATACAACCAGAATATCCGTTAGTTCTAAACTGTGTGTGAGTCTATTCTACGGTTGCAGCCAGAGGATTCTTCTGGCCAGAGGTTCAAGGTGATGTCAGCAGGGGTTGGGCTTCCAGAGCGGGGTCAAGAAAAACGGGGAACCCAAAAATTACTCAGCAGCCCCTGAGGGGGTAGTGTTACGTAATGTAGATAGGACCTGAGTGGTTTGTAGCTCAGGGCCCATGCCTGTCACATACAGAATCAGTGGTCCAGTTGTGGTCCATTTGGGGTCCAGTTGTGGTCCAGTTGTGGTCCAGTTACAGCCTTTCCATACTCTCCAGCTAGAGTAAAGAGAATCTGTTTAGGGGGGAAATCTTTCGGAGGAAACACTGAGCGGCATTTCCTTTTCCAAGTGCTCATCGAGAATAAAACACCATCTAATACATGCAGTCACCAGCATGCAGTATGCTGTACTGTAAACACATGCTGTGCAGCGGTATGATCTTGCTTAAGCTGATAATAATTGCCATGTTACCCAACAAAACGGACATGCTTTATTTAGATTTGCGCATTTGCATTTCACACGGATGAAGCTACATTTAAGCAGAGCCCAATTAAGATGCCGAAGTGACAGTCAGCTCACAGCAGAGACTATGTAGTGGCATAGATCCAGACTGCTATGAATTGTTGTTTGTCTTGTCTATACTTTTTTTTATATATATAAATGCTGAATGACTTTACTTTTCTGTGATGTTGTAGCTCCCAATAATGTCTACTGCGGCAGTGCTGTGCCTTATGGTGTCAGAAGCAGGGGCGGACTGACCATTTGGAAACTCAGCACTGCCCGAGGGCCCGGGTTCAGTAGATGCTCCTGGTACCCTTTTCATAGGCTTCTTTGAGTTTGGGCAAGGACACAGGAGCCCAATGATCCCCTATTGCCCAGGGGCCCCATGAGTTGTCAGTCTGCCCCTGGTCAGAAGGATTAGCTGTCACCCAGGGTTCCCACGTCTGCAGGATGAGGGGCTCTGGGATGTCGTTTCTGAATGGAGAAAACAGGTTTTTGCCGTTTTTTCCAGGATTGGTAATACCTAAATTGGGTTCCTGAGCCCAGAGGCTTTGTCGAAACATGGGAGGGATGACTCCTCTAACCCTGGGTCCACATTTTACAGGAAATCAACGTGCTGGTTGTGCAGGTGTGCGCATCCCTTTTGGTTAATGGGCTATGGTCGTAAGACCCCCTGCCCTCTAGCTCCCTTGTCTCCTCCTTACATGCTCATCTCCAGGACTTCTCCAGAGCTTCCCCCATCCTCTGGAACTCCCAATTTATCAGACTATCACCTACTCTGCTCACTTTTAGGCGATTTCTGAAAACCAATTTCTTCAGGGAAGCCTATCCTGCCCTCAGCTAATAATGGAATCTTCTACTCTTCCAACCAGTCCATCCCCCACAGTTATTACCTTTTGTACCACTAGCCACTCCCTCTTAGATTGTAAGCTCCCAGGATCATCCCCTCCTATCCCTCTTGTATTGTTGCTGTATTGTCTCCCGTTATATTGTAAAGTGCTGAGCAAACTGTTGGCGCCATAAATCCTGTATAATAATAATAATTTAGGGCTCCTTCCCCTGGGGACAGCCTGCGGCAGAAGCGGCGTTGTCATGTAGTAGGTTGGAGGCCAAAGTGATGAGAGGGCTTCCCTTGCGGCTAACCCTGAGCACCGCTGGAGGTGCTGACCGGGAGCACAGGGTTCAAACAAGCATGGGTTGCCTGCTTTAGACTTCTCATGGTGAAGTCTGGCTGGAGAGTTGCTGGATGGGTTGTCCAGGTAGTCAGCTGTAGTACTGGAACACCAAGTGGTGAAGCAGGCCGAGGACAACCGCAGGAGGCAGGTAGAACCAGTAACAGGTCAGAGTTGCCAGAGCAAAACTGAACCGGTGAAATCAGGAACAGAGCTGGGGTCAGACACAGAAGATCAGGCAGAAAAAGCAGCAGAAGTGTAGTCAAGACAAAACCAAGATCATGCACAGGAGCCAGATGTGTGCCAAGAGAGCAGGCTGGGGTCCTACACTGGTGGTCAATGGAGGCGAAGTCGGTAAGAGAGAGCTGAGGTCAGAACCAGGAATCAGGCAGAAGACGGGTCTGAAAGCAAGCTGGGTCAGCAACAAGAAGTCCAAAGAACACAGGAATGAGAGCACTGGGGAGCCACATATCAACCAGCAATCTTTGAATATTGCTGCTCTCCTTTGGCGTGAGTCTTGGGTGAGGACATGCACCAGTGCGCATCCCTGCGTTGGCATGCACCAACTCATTCCTAATGAATCTCTGTGCAAACAAGCTCAGCCATGCATGCAGGGTCGGTGGTTCCACTAGGCCAGCAATGGGCAAACTACGGCCCGCGGGCCGTATACGGCCCGGCGGACCTTTTAATCCGGCCCGCGGAGCTAGGCTCCCGCAAGGCCAGTGGTCGGCAAGCCGCGGCTCTTTACAAATTTAGATGCGGCTCTCCTGTGTGCCGGGCGCCCGCTCCCCTCCCTCCTCTCCTCCTCTCCCCTCCCTCCTCTCTCCTCCTCTCCCCTCCCTCCTCTCCTCCTCTCCCCTCCTCTCCTCTCGGATGGCCGCCGCCCCCCTCCCTCCTCTCGGACGTCAGGACTCTGCAGCTGTCAGGATGTAGGCGGGGCAGCCAGGATGTAGGCGGGGCAGCGTGACGAACTCCTCTCACAGTCCTCCCTGAAGACCAGAACGGCGCGGGAATACGAGAGGAACGCGCGGACCAAAGGTAAGTGAATTGACACAGGGGGGGGACTTACTATATGGGGGATGAATTACTATATGGGGGACTTACTATATGGGGGATGAATTACTATATGGAGGACTTACTATATGGGGAATGAATTACTATATGGGGGACTTACTATATGGGGAATGAATTACTATATGGGGGACTTACTATATGGGGAATGAATTACTATATGGGGGACTTACTATATGGGGGATGAATTACTATATGGGGGATGAATTAATATGGGGGATGAATTACTATGTGGGGGATGAATTACTATGTGGGGGATGAATTACTATGGGGGATGAATTACTATATGGGGGATGAATTACTATGGGGGATGAATTACTATATGGGGGATTAATTACTATATGGGGGACGAATTACTATATGGGGGACGAATTACTATATGGGGGACGAATTACTATATGGGGGATGAATTACTATGGGGGATGAATTACTATGGGGGATGAATTACTATATGGGGGATGAATTACTATATGGGGGATTAATTACTATGGGGGATTAATTACTATGCTTACTATGGGGGAATATTACTATACTTACTATGGATGACACATACACATCATTCATCTACTCTTGGTCCGGCCCCCGGGTCCAATATATGAACCCATTGCGGCCCTCAAGTCAAAAAGTTTGCCCACCCCTGCACTAGGCAAACCAGGCAGCCGTCTAAGGCGCACTGCCACCTAGGGGTGCCTGAGTGCAGCACAGGCCGACGCTCTCTCTGTTTTTCTCTGTGTCTTTCTCCACATCATGAATGATCCTTCAGCTGAGGGGAGGGATGGCAGAGGGGAGGCAGAAAAGATAGAGGAAGATGCCGGGTGTCTGGTGCCAGTGTAGCAGCTGAGCTTCCACTCCTTCCAGTGTTCCTCTCAGACTAAGTCCCTTACTTCCAGCCAGCTGGCAGCTGTTGATCACTGTGGAGTTCCAACACTTCTCTTTCCATTCATCAGCGGAGGTGGAGCCGTGCCTGCGGAGGAAGGTAATGTCTTACTCTGCACTGTTGGTGGTGGTGTGTCGTGTAGGATTTGTCACTGTGTGGGATCACTCAGTTCAGCTGCCTGCTGTCAGTGTTTTACCTCCCCCCTTGCCTGGGGAATTCCATCCTGGGATCTGTCAGAGTGTGGATCCATCATCCTCCACTCACTGCCACTTTCATCCTGCCACTGCCAGCCACAGATACAGTCCGGCCGTGACACAGATTTTGTCTTTAATATTGGTGTTGGTGGCATCTTATGGCATTTATTTTTGCAAATTAAAACAAATTTAGCAGTTTCATGTTTTGTTGATTTAATATTTTCTACTGTTTTAAAAATGTTTAGAGATGGTTGTGCGTGAAAATGCCGGTAGATCAGCAATTTTTGAAATATTTACACCAGACCATCCGGTACCAACAACTATGTCATATACAATACAAATGCAGCGCTAATAGCCATAATAATAGTCCAAGTGAATGACAGGAGTAAAAATTAAATATATAAAAAATATAAAAGTACATAAAAATAGTGCAGGGTAAACGTGACTTCTGTGATGCGTCAATCAACTGGTACAGCAGAATATCCGTGACCCATGTGGTAGTAAGACTGAGTGTAGATTTCACTAACCGGATAGATGAGCTGATTGCGCATGGAGTATGTCAGACCTACTCCTGGTACTCTGGATATGAGACACCGGAAAGGTAGCAGTCATTTTACATCTCGCCACTAGGTGTCATGGATCCCGAATCAGCAGAAGAACTCCATGAATTCCAACATCAGCCACCAGGGGGTCATCCCAATCATCAGGCAATAACGGGCAGGAGACAATGAAAACCTTCAAAGGGCCGGGGCTCCCATAATAAAAGGGCCCCAGGCAAGAGCTCTGATAGTGTAGTAAGCTTTTAATAATGAATAAAGCAAATAAAAACAAAACACGCTTACAATAATAAAAAAATCAAAGATGGCTGCCAGCCATCCTAAACAGGCCATGCAGTGTGGTACAGCAGTTGGGGGGCACCTCTCTGACGCGTTTCGTGTGTAATACACGTTATCAAAAAAAAAAAAAAAACAACTATGTCATGTTCACAGTCACTTAAATCCCCTTTCTTCCCCATTCTGATGCTCAGTTTGAGCTTCAGCAAGTGGTCTTCACCACGTCTAGATGCTTAAATGCATTG